AAAAAAGAATATATATGTATATTATTTTCTTATTATGGTAGGATACTTTAAACAAATTATCTTCTGGGAAAAAGAAATACTGTTATTAGGAAAATCTTTTAACTATCTAAGGTTTTATGTCAATAACATTAATCATATCTAATAATCCATGTCTCATAGCTGATACCCAGTTTTTCATGCGAGATAAGATTCTAAAAATTGCATCTCATAAAATTTATGTGCCATATTACTTTGCTTTACAGGGAAGAATCATTTTTAGGTACATTTGCCAGGGGCTGAGGATACTGGAGATGCTATGTGAGCCTCTGAAGAAAGTTAAACAAACCTTAAATAAGGGCACTGGAACTCCCATAGTTTCATAGGCTCCCAGCAGCCTTCTGACTGGGTTATTCAGTGTAAGTCCACCGTTTAAAGGAACACCAAGTTATCTTGTTTAAAAGATTCTTTCCCAAACATTCTCAGAGTGCTTACTGTGTACACAGCATTCTGCTATAACCTGCTGAAAAGTGCTTTAAGAGTACTTTATGGTTTTGAAGCATTTCTCAATAGTTCATGTATGTACATTGTTTCACTTAATTTCACTCAATACTCTATGAAAGATAGTGCAGGTGTTATTATTCCAATAAAATGACTTTCCCAGAGTACCAGGGGTAGGAAGGTGCTTATCCAAGGCCAGAATTCAGGCCTTATTCTGAATCCAGTAGATTTCTACTACACTGTAAGACGGAGAAAGGGAGAAGGAATACTTATATCTAAAATAAAGCTAGGAACTTATCAAAAAACTTACTATAGCTATGAAAAACGTTGATATCCAGTTTGGTGAGGGAATGAATACCAATTAAAGAAATATTCCTCTTGGCTATGATTGCAATTACAGTGCCCTTTAACAGATAACATTTATCAAACACTTACTATGTGCCAGACACTCTGCTGTAGGCTTTACTCACATTATCACATTGAAGCTCTGAGAGAAGCTCTGAGCAATAAAGTAATTTTACCAAGTAGAATATCTAATAAGTGGTGGAGCAGGATCCACACAATTTTGTGTCATTCCAGAACCTGTATATACTCTTTAAGTGTTTTTTTCTGCTGTCTTCTTCTATAGTCTTTTGCTATTTTCCTTTCTAGTTCCTTTGAGAGGAAAAAAAAAAAGAAGGAAGGGGAGATACTGTCAGCCACAAAGAAGGAAGGAAACCAGCCATTCATGCACTCATTAGCTGGCTTAATCACCATGGGCTGCACTACTGTCCAGCTCGGCCCTGGGAATGCCCATAGTAAACCTTGGGGGACATTTGCAAGAATGGGGAGTGCTAGTTCAGAGACATGGGCAAAGTGACATTGAAGCATAAACAGACGCAAAGCTAAGGAAACCCAGGGAGGGTCTAGAAAGACTGCCCTGAGGAGATGGCATTTGAATTGTGGGGAAAAGTATCTTTCCAGGCAAAGAAAAGAGATAAGAGTATCTGCAACAGAACAAACAGCAGTGCAAACAGGAAGAGTTATGGGAAGTATTCCCATGTATGTATAAATATGAGTTGGTGTTGTAGAACCAAAGAATTCAGTTGCAGAAGGTAGAATCATACTCTAAAAAGCCTTTTATGTGGAAACAAGGAAACTGGACTTTATCTTAAAGATAAGAGCCAGCAGATACTTTGAACAGCAAAATTAAACAAGCTCCCATATTTTAGGAATGTAACTGGCAGTCTTATGTTGGATAAGCAGGACACATAGTCAAAATGAAAGCTAATAAAGAACTGGAGTTGGATGGAAAGATGGTATTTTCCCATTTTATCTCAAAGTCATAAAAAGAAGTCACAATAATCTAGCACCTGCTCTAATAAAACTGTGTGACCAAGAAATGTAAATGATGCACCCATGCTGCTGCTCTCACAGAGAAGGAACATACAGCCTCTTACTTTAAAAGCCTACATGTATTCATTCATTCAGCAGTACTTATTGAGCTCCCACTATGTGGCATGCGCTGTGCTAAGTGTTGGAGCACTGGTTGTGGGGAAGTTCGTTTGAAGCAACAGATAACATGAATTGTTCATAAAGCAAAAGAAAGCAGAAAACAAACCAAAAACAGAACACAAAGCAACTGTCAAAGAAAATAAGAGAAGAGAGAGTAACTCCTAAGAGATAAAAAGTGAAAATGAGATTTAAGTTTAAGAAAGCAAGCATCTGCTGTAAGTAACCATTTCATTAAAAGTACACTAAATTGTGTAGATTCTCTCTCAAGAACTGCACGCTGTGGGCAGAGATGAAGTATAATGGGCTCCCACATGCATTATTCTCATTACTTCTCGTGAAAGATCAGTAAATCTACTGAAAGAGTAATTTACATTTACTGTTCACAATCCATTCATTTACTTTTAAGCTTTCCTGTTTAGGATTTTTAAAATTTAATTCAGATATAATCTAAAAGACAAGGGATGAGCCCAAAATGAGCTGATTTCAACTCCTTGAATAGTCTCGGCACTGATAGATACTCAGTAGGCTGTAGACTTTTTGCTCCTGATTGATGGTGATTGAGCTGTGGCCAGCTTATAGAGCACTGCACACTATCAATTGCAGGAACCAAGTAAAGGACAATATAGGAAAGATAATCTATACCTCACCTTCCTGAAGTCCTTGGGCCTCTAAGTGATTTTAACAAAGTCTCTTCTTCATTCCATTAAGCTTTCCTTTCACTGTGATTCCACAGAAAGGAAGAGGTTTGGGGACTTTTATCCAGGACAAAAAGAAATAAATTTGGAGGGAGGAAAAAAGTCTAGAAAGTGAGTCAATTATTTAATTGCAGGAATGTGATTTTATAAAATATTTTTTAAAAAACATGAGCCTGAAAATGATTTATAATCAGTATTTATTCTGTTGTTAAACTGCCACCAGTATAGTTTCTGTTTCTGAAAAAGCAAACAAGTGAATAAAAAGTACAACAAAACAAACAAAAAAATCAGGCACAGTCTTTCAGACAATGTTATTTCTAGAAAAAATCAAATCCTCCTTGGTTTTCTGGGGCCTCTCCTTGGCTTTACCATTAGACATAGGCACCATTCTGGGCCCATAGAGTGCACATTGATTCCTGATTAATTTAACTCATTACCCCATTAAAAGAGCTTCTTAGAAATCCAGGAGGAAGGAAGCTAAGGTGAGCCCATACTACACATAATAGCAAATATATAGAAGCTTATTCATACAGTATTAAATTATGTTGATTTGAAACTGAATTATGATTTTATAATATTTACAATTTGCTTTTGTTTCCCCATAAAAATCAAAGGTTTTTAAATTCCCTTTTTAGATTAAAAAGAAGTGAGCACTTAGTCTAGTGGAGATGAGAAAAGGAATTTTGCTAGAATTTGAGAGTAACAATTTATGCTAAGGAAATTAGCCTTGTAGCACATTTGCTGGACAAATACCACATTTTTTGAAATAATTGTTATGACATTTTAATACATTCTCACCGTGAAGCAATTCCTTGTAAATGATTAAACCAGACCATGTCTTAACAATTATTTCATGAAACCAAATTTTAATACCCTTAGAAGTTCATATCATAAGACTAACAGAAAGGAGAAAAACACAGAAATCAAATACCATAAAGAAATGGTCTAAAACATACTATATTGTAAAGTAATTCATTGAAAGAAACACACATCATTTGAGTGGTATAAAGCTCAAAATGACTTCATACCCTTTCTCTAAATGCTAAGAAAAAAAAAGAATCCAAAGGATTTCTAAAAATTAGTCTTGTTTCCACGATTTTTATAAAAATCCATTGGTCTATTTCAAAATAAAGACAAACAACTAAATTCTTAAATGATCATCAAGACATTGCCCTCTATGGACAAACACATCACTTTTTTTTAAAGGTAATTCATTTTCATTCCATCAAAAAATAAAAGATCTCTCATCTGGGGTGCTTCACTATGACTTTCATAAAATATTTTTTCTTGTGCCCAATTATTGTTGGAGAAAGGTTTTGAGTTCTTTGAAGATGTCATTTCAAGCTCCGTACATCTTCCATCATTGCAGGCAACTGTTCTTTGATTGCAACATGGGAGCTGGAGGGAATATTGGAGTTTTGCTATGTCATTACCTGAAAAGCATATTCCATAAGTTATTGTAAATACCAGATATTTACATGATCATAGTAAAAGAAATCTGTCTTTCCTGACAGAGTAAATAAAAGACAATATTAAGTAATGAAAGGTTTGTACCAGTCATTCTAAATTGTAGAATTATCACTGATCCCATGAACTAATACAGCTAAAAGATACTTTCCCTGTTACTGATTGATTTCCTTAACTGCATTTGTTCTTCAACTATTTTCTAATCATCTTGCTCCCAAAAAGAATCAGATGTTTCGATCCTCCTTTGTGTTTTGTAACTGCATTGATTAACAAAGATTCATGCTGACCCTGCTTCCAGATGGTGGTGGTTACAGGAGGCGTATACCTTTGTTAAGTAAAGACATGTGGCTTTGGGACCAGCAATCTTTCACCTAAGCACTGTCTCATTCTGTGGCCCACCGTGTACTTACAAAAGGAATCATTCAATAAAGTCACCTAAGATAATCTTTTGACTGCTGTCTTTTCATAATTAATTTCCCATAAGTTACTGTTCCTTTCAATACTATTTTCTTGCCACAGAAACAGCCCTGTGTCTGAATATCAAAGCAATAATTTTTGCTCATTGATTCTTTTTACTATATTTTAAAGATATAAACTTGTTTGTGCATATTTAAATATTTCTTAAATATCTCAGCTGCTAAATCACAATATGCAATTTTGAATGTTTGAACCCTTTATTGGCAATTGTTAAAAACATAAATTCCATGTGTTCCTTAAAATAGGGCATGTTTGATTTTTGAATTGTTGTCATATAAATTGTAAGGCCAAAATTGGGCCCTTTGACTGAATATGCAAATTTCCCCCTTAAACCACCTTGAACTAGGCAGATTTGCAACATTTTAAACTGGCACTTCATCCCTCTTTCAGCAAGCATCCTCTGCAGATTTAATGATCAGGAACATCCTTCTGATGCATGCTGGGAGATATGGCTGCAGGGTACAGACCACAGCAGACAGTGTGTCAGATGAGGCAGAACTTCTTGTTAGGGGTGAGTATGCTAATAGTGCAGTCTGAAGACATGATCACCATAAATTATCATACAAAGGAATTTAAATGCATGGACTTTGAGCACATCAGTACTGTGCATTTTACTTTCAATTTTACAATATATGTCATTTTTGCTTAACCTTTTGCCTTTGAAAAGATTACATGGAAAACTGCTCCTTAGTAACAGACAAAACCTACATTTCCAACTTCAGAGTCCTAAACACCTTTAGTAATAAGTGGTCACTAGGTGTTTAACCAACTTAATGCCAAGCAGAAATTCTAAATAGTTGAACTACTAAGACACTTGGACTACAGAGATAAATTTGTTTGTGTGTATATGTGTTTTTCAAATGCAAAGCTGGTAGAATTCCCAGGCATTTTCCTTTTTGTCCACTAACTTCTAAATTCTACTTCTAAAAATGGAAAAACTGCAGAAGTAAGATGGTGACATTTGCAATTGTCAAGTGACAGGGATTTTTTAACAGCCTGAAAATGTCAACACACAGCCTCTTTGTGCAGAAATGACAGTTAAGTGTATTCCAATTATGAGCCAGGTCACCAAATTCTGCAATCCTATGAAGCTACATGTTATTTAAATTGAGCAAATGACTCCAGCACCCACCTCCTAGACGAGAGCATAGTATTCCCCAATATGGGAAATGCAGATCTTAATATGCATTATTTTCCTTCCTTTTTTCCTTTTTTTTTCCTTTCTTCCTTCTTTTCTTTTTTCTTTCTTCCTTGCCTCTTTTCTTTTCTCTTTCTTCCTTCCTGCCTTCTTTTTTATTTTTTAGTTTTTCATTGAAGTACAGTATACCTACAGACATTTTCACAAATCATAAGTGTACAGATGCATGACTCAATGAATAATGACAAAGTGAATACTCTGTGTTACTAGCATTCAAGGCAAGAACTAGAACATTACCAGAATTCCACTTCTGCCTTTCCCTTCTTAATCGTGTGCAATTGCATGTTGAATGGTATGAGTATTATATGCTTAGACCCCTTGTATGTGTCTACAGATAAAAATTTCATCATCTATAGTGAGAAGTTATATTTTAGATCAACTGGTTTTTTACCTATCAGAAGTGTTTTACAATTATACTTATTAAGAATTTATTAATATTATAAAAATCTTAAACAGTAAACATAAGGCACATAGTGAGCTTCATCATCTCTTTGTTTTAGTTGCATATATCACCAAATGTTTATGGATTTTGGGTAGTGCATCCATCATTGGTTCAAGTACAATGTTGTTTTAAAAGAAGTGTATGTCTGAGTGTGTGGCAGCTTGTTCAATTTTTGTGTGTCTTTCTGTTCGAAGGCTATTTGATCTTTTCTCCAAATTTATATTAAGAATGTGTATCTGTATTACTTTAGTATAAGACACCCACTTTTTAAAGTGCTCATTCTTTCAATACATTCCATTTTATTTAGCTGAAAATTTCCGTTTGTGCCTTCTAAAGTAACACAGGTCATGAAATGCAAACCCTACACTGCAGTCAAATTTATAGAAAATTGCTTTTCTTCTCTCGCTATGATCTGCTTTAGATTATGTGTATTTATTGTATGCACTTGCCTAGTAATTTAGAATGATGCTCCTAAAATTGGAGCTTTCCAAATGAATACCACATTTTAGAGGGTGATAACAAGAAACCAGGTATTTTTACAGGGCTATAAGGGGCAAATTTAAGTGGCAAACTAACATTCTGCTTTGTAAGTAAAATTAAACTCAACAGGGTTTAGAACATAATTCAGGTTCAGCTTTCATGTTCTGCTCTTTTAGCCTTTGGCTTTATGCCTAGGAGATGGTAAAATGCATAAATTTTGGAATTATACCCAATAGCAATTTCAAACAGGTTGCTATTGTCTGAATATTCATGTAACATTCAGCTCAAGCTTTCACTAGAAATGAGTTTGATCAAGTCGCCAAATTTCTGTTACATATTTGCATTACTTTTATAAAATTAGTAAAAATAGTTTGCCTCTTCTGCCTGGTGAGTCTTAGATAGATTTTAAAACTGAACTAAGGATTCAGATCCTTCTTGTTTTCTTCTTCTTATGCTCTAAATTAACAGTTTCTGGTAATTAAAGGAATTTTGATGCTTGAATATTTCTGTTTGTAATGTGGGCATGTAAAATAAAATTCAAAATAGTTTTAATCTACCAATCTCCTTTCTCCCATTTCTCCATTCATTGGTTTGTAAATTCAGAGTATTCTAATAATGTAGGTCACAAGATCAACACTGAACATTCTAGTTTGATCTTTTCTGACAGTGGCTACAATTCTGGCAGCAGAATTCTTTAAGCACAGTTATTTAAGACAATTCTGCCACCCATCTTTTTGTAGAATACCATCATTGCATTGTCTAAACAGTTCACTTTGCTCAATGCTGACCATGAGGAGCACACTTGGGTGGCAAGGAATATGTTCTTGTGATTCTATTTAAGAGGAAATTTAGGAGGAAAAAATCCACATTTTCCTAGATTGATGGAAGCTACATCTTTATTGTCTTCTTTCCCATTAGAGATAGTATATAAAATTCTTTCGTGCATCTTACCAAACTGCATTTCTCATCTGGCTCCACAAGCACCCCAAATTGGAGTTCAGGTACGTTACCCCTTGATCTCAACATTGCCTGTTCAGAATCTGCGTATTCCTGATGAGCAATGCTCCTTGCCACTTTCCCCATCCACTATTTTGAGGACTATCTTTCCAATGAATGCTCGTTTGCACCTTTGTGAATTTCAGCGCTATTATTCACCTCTATTCTACCGTTGTCAGCATTCTCCAAAAATTGAATTTTCCATAAATAACCATCTGAAGCATAAAAGCACTTGCTCTCACAAATTTAACATTAGTGAATCAGCATTATCAAAGCACCATGCGTAATCTGGAGAACCATAACAGAAGCAATGAATATGTAAGAAGAAATTATTTGACTGGAGTATAAAAGAAAACTAAAGCCACACTTAGGCATCTGTACACGGTTTTAGTCACATCGGTGTGCTGTAACAACAATGGAAAAAGCAAGGCTAGACAATGCTATAGGGAACCTCTTTAAAGACAGATAGAACTCTATTTCCCACGCTGTCTAGGGAAAGGGAGATGAATCAGTAAGAGAGAATCTCACTGAGGGGGATACACAAATTGTAAAGAACTGACACTCCCAAGCAATCTGAAAAGTGTTCAAACACAATATAAAAGACTCCAGAGAAAAGAGTATTAGTTATTTTATTTTATTTTATTTTATTTTGTGGAAATCAATGTTAGAAATGTTCCCAAAGCAAATATAAGGGTAGGAAACTGTTATGGTCTAAAGAATAAAATGGGCTTAGCTAAGCTCGGGTAACAGGGAGCCAGGGCAGGAGCCCTGTCTATCCTGGCCTGAGGCAGAGGAAACAGTAGCAAAATCACTTTTTTATACAATGTCTTTATTTGTGTTACTCCTCTTCTTATTGCAAAACAGTAGGTCAAGGAACTCTGGGAACAAAGAAAAATCATTAATCTATTGGTTACTTCTGAATACACAGCCTTTCCCCAAACTTGGACAACGATTTTCATTGCCTGAATTACAACTTACTAGATGGATGCAAAATGTATTTAATTGAATTTGAGACAAATGAATTCACCTCAGGATGAAACTTACTAGGAGACATCTAATGGCTTTTAACCATCCACCCCCAACCCCCACCCCATCACTTCTTATTCCTAACACAGAGTTCAACCTGTCTTTAAATCTAACTTCCTTTACCTTTCCCATCAATTCAGTTTCACTTATGCTTTCCAAGAATAATTTTTTTCCTTGAATATTTTACCTTTAATCTCTCCCAACCTACTTAGTCACTTTTCACTGTAAAACTAAAACAATTAAAAGTTTGCCTGTTTTGTCAGTGAAATAAGTCAACAGGTATTTGTTTATAATTTGCCATCCATTTGTTTATTCACCCATTCATTCAGCACCTGCTCTGTATCAGGCACTGAGGTCAGCGCTCAGAATGGAAAGGTCTCGCCCTCTGTGAGGCTCTGCCTCCACTCGTCCTATAGTATAAGGCACCTTTGGAATTGGGATGAGACATACCAAAGATGTCCCCATAGGTAACTTTCAGGCTCAGAGGGAAAACAGTGAAAGACTAGGAAAAAACATAAGCATAGCTATGGGACTAGATACATAATTTGTAGAGCCCAGTGCAAAATGAAAATGCAGTACCCTTTGTGGAAAATTTTTAAGAATTTCTAGACAGTGACAATAAGGCGTTAATTTAAGCAGAGGCACCTTAGAAGCTCAGAACTGCACAAATTGCCCACCCATGAAGCCAGCCTTCATTATGAATAAATTAGGTATTAATCTATAGAAACAAAAGGATGTTAGCAAAAGGAGGGGGGATAAATTTACAACAAAGTAGTCTAAAGTTTTCTCATCTATAAAATTATAATATCAGAGCCTACACCAGAGGTTTTATCAGCTTTTTACACAAAGAAATCTCTTTTATTATTTTACTCCATTAGTCATAAGTTTTGAAAGATTTTGTTTATTGTGTTGAAGTAATCACTAATTTATATTTTTATTTTAAATCCAACCAAAGCCTTCTTTCATCATAATGTAGATGACACTACCAAACTAGAAAATTTAATTTCAGCCAACATCAAAGAGATTTTACCTTTTAGCTAGTTGTGAAGTGTATTTTTTCTCAAATAGTTCAAAATAACCTAAAAATGCCAGTTTCTACCTGGATGGAAACCAATTTAGAAATCTCTGATTAATTACTCTCCAAATCAGTCCAACCTCTAATTATTACTGATTCTCACTAGCTAGAGAGGAAAGTTTGAGAATTTTCTGCCTTTTGCCCTTGGACAGATGCAAGTACTATCACTTTCCCAAATACAAAGGACAACTAAAGCTTAGTGAAAACCTTGAACATATTTCTAATATATTGTTAATTGACTTGAGAATTAAAGCAGTATTAATGTGATGTATCTCCCCATCTCTCACTGCACTA